GCGGAGCCTCCTGGGGTGGCAGTTTGATGATCCTCAGGCTCTGCTGAAAGATCAGTGTCCCGTTCAGCCGAAACAATTCTCCTGAGTCTTTGGGTTCCTGATGAAGGATTTCTGCTGACCTCCTTGCCTTCCCCTCTGGCTGCCCCTGTGCAAACCAGGTTTTGATGGTGGTTTTTGTACCTCCTCTTTCCTCAGTTTCTTCATACTTCTGTTTTGTGAAATGTGCCACAGCTGTGCGTCTTGGTGCTGTGCAGGAGCGAAGCCTGTATCTGACGGCTCGTGGTTGCACTGTCCCCCTTGCCTGGGGCCAGCGCTGTCCTGAATCCCTGGGGACAGGCAGGAGCCCTGGGTGCCTGCGCTTGTGCCTCCCATTTGTGGGGTAACACGGGGGGAGGGTTGAGGGCCAGCAGGAGCCAGTGTGCCCAGCGCTGCGTCGCTGCTGTGAACGGCACTGCAGCGATGGTGGTGGCTTCACCTGGGCACTTGCTGCTCGTCCTTGCCAGCGCGTGTGAACCCAGCACGTGAGCCCGTCCTCCACAGCGAGCTGGGCACGGGGTGCCCATGTGGCCCTGCAGAGCCGCTCGGCCAAGGCTGACTTGGCCTCTCCTTCCTGCAAGCCGAGTGCCTTGTGCTTGGGGAGGGTCCTGTCTGACCGGGCTCTGCATTGCTCGCCTTGGGGCTGTGTTAGGGGTACTGGATTTGTGCAAGTGGGCAGGGAGAGATCTGCTGTAATGGAGGGACTAACGGGCAAAAGGGAGCCCGTAAGCAAGAAGCAGTGGGGCTGCTCCTGAGAGCAAGGGGCAGCTGTGCTCTGAGCCGAGGGGCCTGGCTGGGAGGTGCCCTGTTGCACTGGGGAAGGGCTCTGTGAACTGAGGCCTCATGAGAGCTGCAGCGTGAGGGGGCAAGGAGAGCGCCCTGGTGCCTCTGGAGGCCCCTCCTGCGCAGCAGCCTCCTCCCTACATGAAGTGCCCAGGGCCTGGGCTGTGCGGATGAGTAGATGGAGATGGGGGGCTCCATGGAAGCAGCTAAACCTGTAGGGAGGACTAGGGGGAGTGGGAGAGGGAAGTCTCCCGCTTGCAGGAGGAGGGAAGCAGCAAGGCACGAGGGCTCCTTCCCTGGGCCTGGGTTGGGGAGCAAGTGGGAGAAATGCCGAAAGCCTGAGGAAACGTCGTGTGAAGCGCCACAGCTCCCCCAGAGCTGCCTGTGGGATGTAGGGCTGCCCTGCTTTTAGGGGCTGCCTGAGGTGCTGCTGGGGAGTTCTTGCCCTGTCCTCACACCATGAAGTCACGTGAGAAAAAGCTGCCCATTTGTGCGGGCAGGGTCAGCGCTGCTGCTCCCCTCTCTGCACGTGCCTGCAGCTGCAAGGGGCTCCCGAACCCCCTGGGAAGCGGTGGTT